AGCCTTTTTTTGCATATAGATGATGCTTTTATATTTATGTTGTCAACAAGTATGTTACAAATATATATATATATATATATATATGTATATGTGTGTGTGTGTAGAGGGAGAGAGAAAGAGAAGTGAGAAAGTGTCAAAGAAAATATACACAGATACAAATTAAAACTATTTTCTTAACATACCTCATTATTATTTCTTTTAATTCTTCCTGTCTTCCCAGGCCATATTTTTCATGGAGAATCATCTATGAAACAAGCTTATTGGTTTTCTTTTCATTTTACGCACATCACGATTTTCTTTACCGCAAAATAAAAGTCTAAGCAACTGATTAGAAAAAAAAAGAAAAAAAGAAGCAAACTCCATCACACGCGCACATTAACGCATGCCCAATATCCAGAGTTCCATATTTGTCAGCATCTGCGTCTGTTTTCGTCTTTAATCTATGGGAAAATCTCAAGGCCCAGTCGAGATGCGTGTGTTGATCGAAGAAATTTATTGTGGAGGAAGAAAATATAAGTTTTATGAAATTAACATAAATTGGACGAAGAAAATGATAGACATTTTGTGTTAAGTAATGCTCAGTCTTCGAGGAAAAAAAAAATTAATTAATAAAAATCAATGTGCAAAAAGCAGGAAAAATAAAACATATAATAATCTCCACATAATGTAACTTTTACACTAAATTGATTTCTGAATGTTTTGCTTGTGATAAAATCGAATCCACTTATGGTTTTAAGAAATTTCACATTTATTAATATTTTTTGTTATTGTCATTAATTTTTATAAAAGCAAGTGTTTGTAAGGTGTTGTGAAAATTTGAAAGACTGGTGTTTATCCACATATAAACACAGTGTATGGCTTTTACGCACGCTCAAATACACGTTTACATTCGGATACGGAAAGGTTGTTTCTGGCAAACTCATTGGTTTATACTTTAATACATATATCGACGAATTCGTACAACTGTCGATATAAACGTTGAGATGCGAACGGAGAGTCGTGTTGCTCCAAAGCAAACTGCAATTATACGTCATCCGTTTTTTTTAAAAGAACGTTTCTAGCTTAAATTTATTGGATGAACTTATCAAAAGTGAAAGAACGCCATAAAGGAAAAGCAAAACTAAAAATCTGTACTAAATTGATACCCAATTACATTCAGTTTATCTCGAACCTTCCAATACGTAATTTTTAAATTTCAAATTACTATTTATTAAAATCATAGATAAAAAATCCTCTATTTTATCTATAACTAAAATCTTCTTTGTGCCGTGTCCCTTCAGGACGTGGACGATCACGACTCTCCCCAACTTCCTGTCTTTTGTAGTTTTTATCAATGTTTGTCTTTTTACATCCCACCAATTCCTTGTTCAGTCATAAAGCTATTCGCCTTTTCTCTCCGATCCTTTTGACTTGACTATATCCTGTGAATGTCAAATTCTCCAGGCACGCTTTCCTAAATTTGTGTCCAGAAAATTTCAACTGTCTCTTTCTGATTTTCAGTATAAGTGTCCTTTTTTCGTTTTATTTTCTTTAAAACTTCCTTATTGATCACCTGTCCTGTCTATGGTAATCTCACCAATATCTCTGTTAACTAAAGTCTGTGAGGTGACTGTCCAGCAATCACTGTTCTATAGGAGTATTGACTGATTGATTGATTGAGTTTTTTACGTATTAGGTTATTTTAAAACCAAAATATGTTTTGGATTTTAAGAGTATTTTTTGGGGAGTGAATATTGTATTAACAATGTTTCGGATATATTAATGATTTTCCGATACTTATTATTTAACCCATAGCTGGAGAAAGAAGAGGTGAATTCATACCTTTCCCAATAGCATGTGTAATGTAACGAATCCGACTGGAATTCGAACTTGACTCTCCGATTTCTCATTCCGAGCCGTTATCCATTACACCACCCGGTTATCCAAGCCTACAGCAGTTGGTATACCCAAACAGTCACTAGCTACTGACTCAGCTAGACGTTGCTTAACTTCGGCGATCGTGCGAGCAACGGTGTTTCAACATGGCGCTGCATAGATGGAGATATATTACAAATTAGTTCTGCTTTCTTTGTTTCCAACGAAATGTTCCGGTTTCGTAATATTATTTTTAACTTTTTCAATGCTATTCTAATACGCCTTCGCATTTCGATGTCACATTTCCTGTCATCTGTTGGTATTGCGAAGAAACGGAATCAGCAAACCGAGTTCGAATCCAAAGAAAAGGCATCTCTTCATCATCACCATATATCTTGGCGAAATATTCCTTCACTAGCATGGCTCAATAATTGACGAAGAGAGCGGGTGATTGACCACCTGGCCAAATTATTCATCCATCACAACCTTACACACGTAGACAGTAATTATAAAAATATGTAACCACCCCTCAGTTTATTTTCATCGAGCAAAATCATAGCTAGGATTAAAATATATTCGACAGCGTGCTATGATCTCGAAATCTCATAGCGCATAATGTCGCCATTAAGCACTGTCCTTTGATACCAAAGAGCGTCATATGGTCATTTGAGTTATCTATACGTGTGTGTGAATGAATTTGACAATTCATACAGAATGCGTAGGCTGGTCTAAATCCCAGAAGTACTGGTCAGAACTCTGACAACCCGAACTGAGTGGGTGTGGTTTGAACCCCATAGGCCTGAAACACTAACAGTGATTGATTGAATTTGTTTAAATCTTAATATAAGACACCCTAAGACAGTGAATGCGTTTACATGAATATAAGAGTGAAGACGTTTCGCTGCTCACAGATACCTTATTGAAACAGGCCACTACGTAGTGATAGATATTCGCTGGAGGGACTGTTGAGATAAATAATGCGAGTACCTATGAAAGTTGTTTGTTATCCGTCCAGTCTGTGATGCAGCGCTGGGGCCTGAAGAATTGCCGATAGACCACGAGAAGCCAGTGATAACATGCAACACAATGAGTGACTAGATTGACAGAGAAGGTTGAGTGTAGCTGCTAAGTGCCATAGCAGTGCTAGGCCAGGGCCAGCAAGTTACACATCCTTGCGCTCGGAGGCGGTCAGACGAAATTGGTTTACTTGTTTGATTGAAAAATAAATTTTGTCGCAGATACAACCTCGTATTTTTTCACCAACCATTATTTCCTGAAAACCCTCAACCAAAGACAGAGTTGTATTTCGAAAAATTTCAATGCCATTCTCTTACCTAACGTAGGCGATCATGGCTCACCATAGCTTCGTTTTCTTTAATATCCTTAAAAGGAGTTATTTATTGGGAAAGGCGGTTCTTTATTTATTGCTGTTGCCCTTCTCCTTCGTGACCCTATCAAGGCTAAAGTCCATAGTCAGCTCTACTATTTTATTCATATCTGTGAGAGGTGGATCTATGTTTTATTCAACTGAAGTGAACGCAGCAACCTTAACAAGAGTCAGATTAGATCGAAAATCGAATATTTCTGTCATGTGTGGGCTAGAGCGGTCAATATCCCCTTTCCAACTTTGATAGAATTCAAAATCATTCACTCGACTTTGTAGGAGGATGAGATATTTTCCATCCTTCAGCGTCTATTCCACTGACGTAAGGTTGCGAACCGGTCGCTATTTCCATGGCAACTGTTCAGACGAGATTTTTACAGCTAAAAGCTGCCATATTACCTCGATGAAGTAGGACTAACCATCTTCCCCATCTATTTCAATTATAACAAGAAAAGACAACTTTTTTTCCCAAAGAACTATTGTTTTGCGGAACAGGCTTCCATAAGATGCTTATCCGAATGCTACAATCGTCACCTCTTCAAGTCAAAGGTCAATCGTTCAGTAAACTCGAGCTTGAGTTAGTCTCGAGCCTTGGGTGAATATTAATAAAAAAAAATCACTGAAACGTCAATCATAGGCTCATGAAGATAAAAATAGTTTATTGATGATTTTTGGCTTATATTTGACTGAAGGGTAATTTATTCGGAGTTTGGGACGGATCAGATATATCTTTGTTAAGTATATTGTACTTGGTAAGTAGAGATAAAAGTGGGATTATATCTCCAAGATTCGATTAATCTCATACAAAATAATTGGATCGATGTAGGTCAGTAGAAAATAAGATTATTTATAATCTCCGAGATTTTGTTTAATTTGTATTGAATTTAGAGAACTAACTTTTTGACCAAGTGAACAATAATTGGGACTGAAGCTCACACCCGACCCTCAAGTAGAACACGAATATTTGCCTTGTCTCTCAAGATGCCGGCAAAAATTGTCGGTTCTTGAAATTAACTGACGTGTTTTGCCATGCTCTGTTTTCACAAGAGATCAGATCAGAAAAAAAATGGAGTATGGCTGCCATATCTGAACTGGATCTGCCCAATCTTCACTATGGAGTTCAAAAGCGTTTACGCGGTCTTGTGGTTGATGAATTATTTCCCAGCCTACAACCTCTTTCGCACAGACAAAATGCCGCTAGCCACTCGCTACTCTATCGCTATTTCCAAGGAAAATGTTCAAACGAGATACTTTCCTTAGTTCTACCAGTTCGGACCCTTAAAGCTAAGACCCAGCAGGTCACGTACACAGAGTCAACCCATCCTCATTCTCTTCGTATTCCATTAATAAGGAGGAAGTTCCACTCAGATTTTTCCCAGAACTGTTACTTTGTGGAATAAACTTCTGAGAAGATTCTTCTCCTATAACTATAATCTTAACTTTTTCAAATCTACAGTCAACCGTTATCTATCCTATCTATCCTCATAATATGTATTTTTTAATTTCACACATTACACCCTTACATCAACTTCATTCACTAACCTTCTACCTTGAGTGGTTCTTTCGCCTTCTATTTGGGTAAGACTAGTATGAAAAAATACCGAACTGTATCATCCTACAAGTGAGCTTGGAAGAATAATAAATTCGATGAAGGATCATTTGATCTCCTGCGACATCCATAGTGCAATGATTGACTGGTCTGCCTTTTTTTACGGTTTATGAACACTTAAAGCCGAAAGATATTTCGGATTGTAGTGGGCCTCTCCCAAGCGGTCCCTATCTAAGCACTGACCTGGCTCAACGCTGCTTAACTTTGGTGATCGAACGAGAATCGCTGTTTTCAGCATGATATAACCGTAGGTACTGACAGAGCAGTTTTGAAAAAAAATTGTAAATTTGTTTATTTTTTAAGCAATTTATTTTTTTCACTCCAAGGCGGGAGTACCACTAGTACGCAAGGGGCTGCAGAAAATGTAAGTAAGGGAAAAACTGGGTATGGGTGGAGGGGTTGAGGAAAGGATAAAAAGAAGAGGGGGAATGAAGGCAACAGTAGATGTCGATTGACATTACATTTAAATTTTTGAAGGTTATAGTTATGAGGGAAGAAAGTAAGAGGAAGGGAGTTTCACTGTCGGGAAGTGCGAGAGAAGAAGCTGTTGGAGTAGAAGAGGCGGTTAAATTTAACTGTTTCGATAGTAAAAGGGTGAGAGCAAGATGCCAACCTAGTAGCACGCTTAAATTCATCAGTGAAAATAGCTCGTCAGAGCAGATGCCATGAAAATATTTATAAAAAAGACAGAGGGAAGCCACATTAGATCGGCGAGAAAATGACTCGAGTCGAGACCCCAAGTTATGGACAAAAATGTCTGATTGGGAATTATTAATAGTGAGGTGCATCAGAACAGTTTCTGAGCTGGACAAGTAAAGGATTTCGACGAGCTTCCCTTTATATGTGCCGTGTCCATACATGGCATGGTCGATCATAGCTCTCAAGTAATATTTGTCCCTTCCTCTTTTGCCATTCTACACAAGCTCGTTTGGTAGGTTACTCCCTGTTTCAATCTAACCATCTTGCATTCAGTATGTCCTGTGAGGAACAAATTCCCCAAGTACCGTTTCCTCATTTAGAATCACAGACATTTCAGATATCTCTTTCTTATTCTAAATACAAACGGTCTTATTTTTTTATCCATTTCTTTAAAACTTCCTTATGGAACATATGTTTTCTCCACGGTATTCTTAGCTTCTGTAAAACCATATATCTGTTGTCTCAAATCTTCTCTTTATCTGTGAGGAAATTGCCCAGCATTCATTGTCATATAGGAGGATTCAGTTAAGCACACTTTATTTTGTTTCTAACGAGGAGGAGGAAATTAGTAAAGCTGTGCAAGACATCTGATGCACACATGATAATGACAGACTCTATGAGAAGGAAAGAGGAAGGAAGTTTATTAATATCAAAAGTTATGTTCAGTCGCCTATAACTCTCTTTGCAAACTCTCAATAACTGATTGATTTTTTTACGGCTTATCAACCTTATTAAGGTTATTTAAAGCCGAAAAATATTTTTGGATAGTAAGAATTTTTTGAAGATAATAATGAATTTCTGATACAAGTCTTACAATTTAACCCATAGCTTTAGAGGTTTTCTTGATTGATTTGTTTTTTTTACGGATTATCAATCTTCTGCAGGCTATCTAAAGCCGAAAAATAATTTTGAATTGTACGAATTTTTTGGAGATAATAACGATTTTTCGATACAAGTCTTACTATTTAACCTATAGCTGGGAGAAGGTGTGGATTCATACCTTTCCCAAGGGTATTTGTACGTAAGTAAATATAACGAATTCCGGCTGGAATTCGAGATCGGCTTTCGGATTTCTAATGCCGAGCCTTTATCCATTACATCACCCACACACCCTAACTTACAGCATTCGGTATTTCCGAGAGATCACTCATCTGGTACTGACCTGGTTCAAACTTGCTTACCTTTGGTGATCGTACGAGAACCGGTGTTTCAACATGATATGGTCATAAGGAAAGAATATATTTGTAGCGAGAGAAAAATATTTATAAAGTCACGTGACCTGACGAGACCCGCACGGAACATCATTAGATGGGAAAGTGAATCTTGCTCTTTTCGCTCCGTGAAGTTATAGAAACAGAAAACGCAATTTCAGGTTCGTGACAAACCAAACAGATAAGTACAAAGATTCAAGTAGCTATAAGCTAGCTTTGTATTAAGAATTTCGAGTGAAATATATATATATATATATATATATATATATATATATATATATATTGTTACGTTAACCCGATATTTGTACCCTCACCTCAGATTTTATAAGTATATTTTAAGTACATTGTGTATGTGCGACTAGACATAGGAATATAATAACTTCTTTATTTCTTGAAAAAGCAGATTGTGGGATATATTTGCTTTTTTTTCATCCCCAGTTGAATCAGGGTCAGTTCTTGGAAGAGAACCTCTCATTTCCTGTCTGGTTCTTGATTGTAGGCCAGACAAACGCTGTTTGACAAAAAGTGCAGATGACCTCAACAGTGTTCCATGAATGACGCCTACGCATTTTTCGTAGGCTGGCACGAGATGGTTTTGTTTCGCGCGTGTCGGGGTAACAATACTTCACCCAGACCAGGTGGACGTCACCAGAATCTGTCTTAGCCGTTTGCTGCCCTAAGAAGTAGATGTCACCGAAACCAAATTTGCTGTTTGCTGCCCGAAGAAGTAGATGTCACCGAAACCAAATTTCGCTGTTTGCTGCCCGAAGAAGTAGATGTCACCGAAACCAAATTTCGCTGTTTGCTGCCCGAAGAAGTAGATGTCACCGAAACCAAATTTCGTTGTTTGCTGCCCGAAGAAGTAGATGTCACTGAAACCAAATTTCGTTGTTTGCTGCCCGAAGAAGTAGATATCACTGAAACCAAATTTCGCTGTTTGCTGCACGAAGAAGTAGATGTCACCGAATCCAAATTTCGCTGTTTGCTGCCCGAAGAAGTAGATGTCACCGAAACCAAATTTCGTTGTTTGCTGCCCGAAGAAGTAGATATCACTGAAACCAAATTTCGCTGTTTGCTGCCCGAAGAAGTAGATGTCACTGAAACCAAATTTCGCTGTTTGCTGCCCGAAGAAGTAGATGTCACTGAAACCAAATTTCGCTGTTTGCTGCCCGAAGAAGTAGATGTCACCGAAACCAAATTTCGCTGTTTGCTGCCCGAAGAATTAAGAACATCATCCCCCAAGTCGGCTACGCTTTTATGATTCACATGTATATATTAGAACATAGATAATCCTTCCTTTTTATGTTCAGAAAAAAAAGAAACAAACAAATAAAAAAAAACAGTGTATGAACATCTTTTTTCGTTACACTGTATTTTTGATGAACATCCTGATTGACGTCAGTCATCATCTACTGTGAGTGTTACATGTTTTTTTTTACATATATATTATTGTCTGCTTGCTATATATTCCTATGATATTCGTCGCTGTAATATTTGTCTAACTGATTACTCATCTTCCCATCCCTTGTGTTATTAAGTTTCGTTTATTTATTTCTTATCTTACTTTTGCATCTTGTATATTTGCAGATAAACTATTTTTATTATAGATTCTTGTATTTCTCCTGTCATTTTGTGTCCACGCATTGTATATTTCTTGCTGTATTTACCGGTGCCTGGATTCGGAGAATTCCCCTCCCACTGTTCTTTTCCTTTATTTTTATATTGAACCTTGTGATTTCTTATTTATTTATTTTTATTTTCTCATTACGTCCCGGCTATCGTAGTCCTAACGAAAACCCGGGTGTAACAGAATTGGTGGCTCGTGTCCGGGAATTATTTCTCCTTTTCCGTAAGACTTCGCAGTGAGGAACAGTGCGGTCACAGAATTATAGAGGCATATAAATCGAGATGTCTGTAGTAAATACCTTTTTAAACTCTCCCACGGTCGACGGTTTATTAAAGCTGAAAAAGAACCATATTTTAGAGATAGGGTTGAAACTGGAGTTGGACGTAAGACGATCTATGCGAAAGGCGCAGTAGGTGAGAGTGGTCTCAGAAGATCTGGTCGATAATGAAGTTTTCGACAGGAGTGTCCTTGACAACCTTGTGTCAGAAGCGTCCGAGCTCTCAGAAGCCCAGATTGAACTGGAGAAGCTTAGGGTCGAAGTCGAAACGGAGAAACTCAGGGTCGAAGCCGAAACGGAGAAAGAGAGACTTAAGGTGGAAGCCGAAACGGAGAAAGAGAGACAAGGTCGAAGCCGAGACCCATATTAAGCTGGCGAGAATTAGTCAAGAGACTCGTGTCAGGGAAATAGAAGAACGAATGCGACACGAGGAGGAGCGGAACCACTTTGACCTCACCAAGCAAATCCGACTTGTGCCTACGTTTAACGAAGAAGACGTGGATAAATATTTCCAACACTTCGAGAAAATTGCTTCAAACCTAGAATGGCCCATCGAAGCCTGGCTGACATTACTACAAACAGCCCTGAAAGGCAAAGCACAAGAAATGTATGCTTCCCTTTCAGTTGCGGACAGCGCCGACTACAACATCGTAAAAACATCGATCCTGAGAAACGACGAAATGGTGCTAGAAGCGTATAGACAGAGATTTAGAGACCACAGAATGGACGAAGAGCAAACATATGTAGAGTTCTTCAGGCAGAAAGAAACGTATTTCGACCGATGGATTTCGTCGAAAGAAATAGGAGCAGATTACGATAAACTACTGAACAAAGTACCCTCAGGATCCTAGGTCGAGAACGATATCTTAATGCGGAAGTGGAGACCCACACACACACACCCGCTCAGGAAGATTGGTCGAGTGTACGTCAGTTGGGATTCGAACACACAGTGCACGGACCTTTACCTATGTTAAAGGAAAGATGAAGAATTCAAATGGTGCGTACACGATGACCTTAAAACATTCCTCAACGAAAGACAGTTCGACACAGCCTACGAGATGCCTACCCTCGTGGACGAATACACACTAACGCATAAGCGGGGCAGGAATAAGTCAGAGGGCCCATCTGAATATGGGAGAAGCACAAAGCCTAGAGTAATGGCTGGTGCTGGTCTGAGGACAAGACCTGGTCAAGCAAACTACCCACATCGACCGAAGAGCCCGAAAAGTAAGCGGTGTGATTAACACTCTTTTAACCCCCGACAAACGGAAGGAGGGAAGAATTTAACGTGTTACTACTGTTGGAAGGTAGGACACATGGCGGCGAATTGTTTCGCGAAGAAAAGAAGTGCAGTCTCGAATAAACCACAAGGGTTTATATCGTCGCAAAAGATCTCAGTAGGAAGATCAAAGGTCAAATCAGAGAGGAATACAAACCATTTGTGTCGAACGGCTCCGTATATCCGGTGGATGACCCAACGGAGAGGGTTAAGATTAAAATCCTAAGAGACACGGGAGCGACTCAGTCTCTGATAGTCGAAGGAGACATGCCACGCGGATCAGAGACAGCCACGGGCGAACGAGTAGCTATACAAGGAGTAGGAAGTAGTTTTGTTAGTGTCCCGCTTCACCGGATTTCCCTTGACTCAGACATTGTAAGTGGACCTATAGTCATCGGAGTGATTGATAGTCTGCCTATGAAAGGCATATCGATGCTAGTTAGCAATGACCTGGCTGGAGAAAGAGTTATACCCCATCCAAGAGTGGTGGAAAAAACGAGCATCTCGGAGGAGACTGAGAAGATAGAGGAAACGCATCCTGAAATATTCCCATCATGCGTGGTGACCCGAGTGAATGCGAGGAAGATAGCTGAGGTAACGAGTGCCAGAATGGAAAGCTAGGACGAAGGGAACGAGGTAGTTGACCCCTCCCAAACCTGTTTAAGCCATGAGATAGGATCGGCCCCTATGCTCGAACAGACCCCAACATTAAACCCTAGCTTGCGTGAGGAAACAACAGACGTCATGCCCATTATAGAAAGATCTATGGCAATCGAACAGAGAGAGGATAGCCAAATCTCCCCCCTGTTCGAAGAATCGTTACCTTGAGGAAGAACTGAACAAAGTACCCTCAGGATACTAGGTCGAGAACGATATCTTAATGCGGAAGTGGAGACCCACACACACACACGCTCAGGAAGATTGGTCGAGTGTACGTCAGTTGGGATTCGGACACACAGTGCACGGACCTTTACCTATGTTAAAGGAAAGATGGTTACAAGAAACCCACACGAGCGAATCGATATTAAGGTATGTATCCCGTTTTCGAACCCGATTGCACGAGGCTTGTGAATTGGCATGCGAGAAACTTAAAACGGCCCAGAACAAAATGAAGTGACAGTATGATCGAAAGAAGTTTCGATATCGGAGATAAAGTACTGGTATTGTTGTCCTTGTCTGATCACCCACTGAAGGCCCGCTTTCACGGTCCATACGAAATTTCTCGGAAGGTTAGCGACCTCAATTGCATTGTGAACACCTCGGACCGAAGGAAAGAAACACAAATGTGCCACATTAATTATTCTCAAACCATATTACGTGAGAGGGAAACCGAGCCCCATCCTGGCCGTAGACGGACCCCTCGATGCCTCTAGTCATACAGACGTAGACACAGAAGTCCTGAATAAAACGGATTCCCCTGAGGTTATTGAATTCGGAAATACTGTCAAATTTCGCGTCTAAGTTAAGTCACTTAACCCACGACGAAAAGAAGGAAGTAATCCATCTCATTCGAAACTTCCACGACTTATTCCCTGACGTACCCGTGACGTCCCTAAACACAGCCTTCGCTCGCTCCTCGCTGCTTCGTTCGGGTGTTGCCGCTCCAAACGTGACGTCCGCCTGTCGCGTCAGTCGTGTTGTCTCGTCCTGTGACGACCAACTGGCTTGGTATCGGTCGCGGCACCCAAATGTGACGTTCTAACCTTTTGGTGATTCGGATGGGAATCTGGTTAGATTCGATATCAGCCTCGTCGTTCCCAATTCGCTTCCAACGCCTGGTTACCAAAGTAACTGCGTTGATCTCCAGTCCGCCTACCCACGTTGTGAATCGATC